GACCAATACTCGCTAGAGATCGAGCAAGGGCAAAACTGCACAAACAAGGCCGAAATGAATGCTATGAAAGAGTCAAAGCAGATACATCGTGGTGAGAGACTAGCGAAGATATTGGGAGCTGGGCTTTGCAAAAGGCGCTGGACGCGCCAAACGAAATGCGGAGGTTATGAATCTTACCTGGGAAAACAAAAGCAACAAAAAACAAAACAAAACAAAAAACAAACTCTTCGACTCGGCGTCTGAAGAAGCTTGGGACTTAGCAGCTGCGGAGACAGCGGTGATGACAAACCAAAAAGAGAACCGGCTGCGGGGGCAGAGGTGATGACGAACGAAAAAGAGAAGCGGCTGCGGGGACATAAAAAAAAAATATACAAGTGATTTTTCCACTAACAGCTTGTCGATCAGATATAACGAAGGCTCGGAGCATTGCGCGCGCACAAAGAAGCGAGATGACGAACAAGCAGGTACACCACCCACCTCGCTCGCCTGTGAACCTCACCCACCTCGCCAGTGAAAGCCTGGCGACAAAATCACCAACTCGCGTTCCAGCGAGGCAAGCGCCAGCGTGGCGTCGCAATTGCTGACTCAACGTGGCTCAGCCTTGGCAAAAGAGTCCTCGCTCACCTGGCTCTGTGTCTGCGGCTGATTGAAGATAACAATCAGCAGCGCTGTCACCTGCTTCAGCAACGATTGGCCAGAAAAAACATATTGGGCGAACAGCAGCGCGCTGCTCGTCAATCACACTGGCGTGCTGTGCTGCTGCCAGCTCGGCACGTATGGGTTTTGTTACAGCATGGCAGTTTAGGGTACCAACAGTACACATTATACGAGCCGAAAACAAGACCACATACAAGCCCAACTTTTTCCGAGACACATTTTCAAGACTCAAAATTGAAGCAAACAGACTTTCACGAATTGTAACAAAAGAAGGCCATATCGGATCACAGGCAAAAAAATGCCTACGCTTGGGGAGTTTCATAAGGTATTATCAATATTTCTACAAAATACATTAAATAGAATACTCAGAGTGATCTTTAATAGTATCGTATGTCATAATTTACATGTATATACATATATAATTGTTATCATAAGTATGTAAGGTGGACATAACTACATCGGAAAGATGTGAAACGACTGGATATTGGGGGGGGGGGGGTCCTTTTTGAGTTGGGAGGCTGGTGGTTTTCGACGGTTGATGAGGTGACATTCGCTTCACCCTGCTTCCTGGCAGTTAACCATCGAATGCGCTCGGATTATTCCTGCAGTTTTTCGAACGCATTTCTAGTAATTTACCACCACCCCTCTCTACTACATCCTAAATCCTAGCCGAAGGAACTGATTTTATCGCGTTAGCACAACCGGGCAGCTCGTGGTGCATGTTTGTACGTTTGCTGGCCTGAATCTCTGCAAGGATAGGCATGTGCGCAACATGTCACTGCGCCAACGTCTGAATGCCTTTTTTGCCACTATTTCTTCACACAATTCTCTACTACATCCTATTCCCTAGCCATAGGAACTGATTTCATCTCGTTAGCACAACTACGCAGCTCGTGGCGCATGTTTGTTCGTTTGTTGGCCTGAATCTATGCAAGGATAGGCATGTGCGCAACATGTCACTGTGTCAACGTCTGAATGCATTTTTTACCACTATTTCTTCACACAGCTCTCGACTACATCCTATTACATAGCCATAGGAACTGATTTCATCTCGTTAGCACAACTACGCAGCTCGTGGCGCATGTTTGTGCGTTTGCTGGCCTGAATCTATGCAAGGATAGGCCTGTGCGCAACATGTCACTGCGTCAACGTCTGAATGCCTTTTTTTGTCAGAATTTTATATTATCTAGCCTGCAGTGGGGTGCTCTATAGCGAGTACAACCCAGTTAGGGTTTGCTATATGTATCCCAACTGCTGCTAGTGAGCCTCCTCTTTCTTGTTCTAAACTTTCTGCTCGTTACTTCTAACATGGTTTCAGAGCAGGTCGACCCCCTTGGGTCGATCCTGTGGGTGGGCCCACCACCTAACTGCTTCCGCTGCTCTACTGCTGTCGCGCGCCCCGGGTGCGTGACCCTTTGTTTCTGCCGCGCGCCCGGAGCGCGCGGCGTTTTTTCATCCCGCCGCGCGCTTGGGGCGCGCGGCGGTTTTCTGCCTGCCGTGCGCCCCGAGGCGCGCGGCGGTTTCCTACCGTGGGGGACCCGCGCGCAGCCCCCGCCCTGTCCGTCGCGGCTCCCTCTCCCGTCGCCCGTCGTGGCGATATGGGGGCCGCACGTCCCCCCCATCCCGTCGCCCGTCGAGGTGCCCCGGGGGCCGCGCGTCCCCCCCCTTCCCGTCGTCTCGTCGCGGCGCCACGGGGGCCGCGCGTCCCCCCCATCCCGTCGCGCGTCGAGGCGCCCCGGGGGCCGCGCGTCCCCCCCCCGTTCGCGTCGTCCCGTCGCGGCGCCATGGGGGCCGCGCGACCCCCCCATCCCGTCGCCCGTCGAGGCGCCCCCGGGGGCCGCGCGTCCCCCCCATCCCGTCGCCCGTCGTGGCGCCCTGGGGGCCGCGCGCCGTCCCCCTCGCTGCTGCCCGCGCTCGTGCCCCGTTCTGCCCGTTTTAGGGTTTGGGGGTGGCGAGTGTGGGGGTGGCGGGCATGGGGGTGAGCGGTGTTGGTGCTACCCGTCCCCTGCTCCTCCTCCCCCTTCCGTCTCCCACTGCTGCAGCTGCCGCTGAGGGGGGTGGAGGTGTGGGAGCCACGGGGAGTGGAACTGGGGGGTGACGTGGGAGTGGATTAAGGGGTGAAGCAGGGGGTGTGTGTCAGGGGGGTGGGACTGTTTGGGGAGGCTGAGAGGAGGCTGCCGTCGTGTCGTCCGCAGCGCCTGTATTCCGGGGCACTTGCTCCCGGTAGCTCAGAGAGCCTGCTGCACCTGTCGCCCGTGGGTCCGTTGCTCCTGCCGCTCATCGTAGCCGCAGAGCCTGTTACTCCTGTATTCCGGGGCACTAGCTCCCGGTAGCCACTGAGTCGCAGAACGCACTCCTATTGCCCGTGTGTCTGCAGCTTCAGCCGTCGTCTCCTATCTTCTTCTCCTCTCACAGCCCCTCCTCCTCCTCACTTGCCTGCTGTGACTACCTCTAGCTTTGCTTATAATTGTGAACTACTGCTATGCCTGCTCATTGTGCTGATTACACCCCACTTTGGCTATGGGGGTGTGTCAGAATGTTATATTATTTAGCCTGCAGTGGGGTGCTCTATAACGAGTACAACCCAGTTAGGGTTTGCTATATGTATCCCAACTGCTGCTAGTGAACCTCCTCTTTCTTGTTCTAAACTTTCTGCTTGTTACTTCTGACATTTTTACCACTATTTCTTGACAAAGTTCTCTACTACATCGTATTCCATAGCCATAGGAACTGATTTCATCTCGTTAGCACAACTACGCAGCTCCTGGCGCAAGTTTATGCGTTTGCTGGACTGAATCTGTGCAAGGATAGGCCTGTGCGCAACATGTCACTGCGTCAACGTCTGAATGCCTTTTTTGCCACTATTTCTTCACACAGTTCTCTACTACATCCTATTCTATAGCCATAGGAACTGATTTCATCTCGTTAGCACAACTACGCAGCTCGTGGCGCATGTTTGTGCGTGTGCTGGCCTGATTCTGTGCAAGGATAGGCCTGTGCGCAACATGTCAGTGCGCCAACGTTTAAATGCCTTTTTCACCACTATTTCTTCATACAATTCTCTACTAAATCCTATTACCTAGCTATAGGAACTGATTTCATCTCGTTAGCACAACTACGCAACTCGTGGCGCATGTTTGTGCGTTTGCTGGCCTGAATCTGTGCAAGGATAGGCATGTGCGCAACATGTCAGCTCGCCAACATCTTGATGCTTTTTTTACCAATATTTCTTCACACAGTTCCCTACTACATTATATTACCCAGCCATAAGAACTGGTTTGACATCGTTCGCACAACTATGCAGCACGTGGCACATGTTTGTGCGTTAAATGGGTGTTGCTGTGCAAGGATAGGTCTGTGCGCAACATGTCAGCTCGCCAACGTTTGGATGCCATTTTTGCAAATATCTCTTCTCACAGTTCCCTACTACATCCTATAACCTAGCCATAGGAACTGGTTTGACCTCGTTCGCACAACTACGCAGCACGTGACGCATGTTTGTGCATCTGCTGGCCTGAAACTGTGCAAGGATAGGCCTGTGCGCAACATGTCACTATTTCAACGTCTGGGTGTTGTTTTTACCTCTATTTCTTCGCACAGATCCCTATTACATCCTATTTCCTAGCCATAGGAACTGGTTTGACCTCGTTCGCACAACTACGCAGCACGTGGTGGGCCCTTTTGACCTCACGTCGGAGTGAATATAAAATGACTGAGATTATTATAACAATCATATAGATAGGCTTATACAATGGGAATGCACAGTTCTATTTACCATTCCTAACAACCATTTTGTGACTGGACCACAATTCATTGAAATTAATCTGGCAAATCATTGATTGACAAAAGGTATCAAGTGAGTTCAGTAAACAACACGGTATACAGATGGCAAATATTAACTTAACAAATTGTACAGCATTCTACAAATGATTCACGAGGCTGGTTCGAAGCTCGGCTTAGAAAGGCTGGGGAGGTTCGGATTGGCTAGCTGGAAAGCTACGTCCCGCAACTTCAAGCTCGAACCTTGGGCTGGTTGCGCGTCAGCTTCGAAACCTCCGCTGAACCTGCGCTCAACATGCCCTCAACATACCCCGCACCTACGCTCGACCTTCCTCAACCTGCGCCATAGATTTGGGGTGCGAACGTAGGCTTTTCAGAACCTACGTCACACCCCTCACCATTTTTGGGATGCTGCTAGTAGTGGAACGTGGGCGGCTTGCTGGGCTGCCTACCGCCGTGCTGTCAGCTTCGCTGCCTTTCTTACGCTTGTAGCGAGGTGCCCACGTGTTGTGAATCTAAAGAGGTTGTGTATGTGTGGAGATACCTCAGTTTATCCGGCTATCATGGCCCAGTTCGGGGCGGGAAGGCAGGTGGAGAACGACTGCATTGCGTCAGTGCTGGTGCAGGTGCTGGGGGTGAAGGAGAGTGCTGATCTGCAGGAAGGGTTTGGATTCTTCGTGCAGCATCTGCTGTCAGGCGGGCTGGAGAAGGCGCATGCAGAGGAAAAAGGGAGGGGGGAAGCCAGGGGGAAGGGTCCTGAGAAGACACACGGGGAGGAGGGGTGGACTGGGAAGGAGGCTGCTGAGAAAGCGCAGGGAGAGGAGGGACGGGCGGATGGCGAGGTGATGGATAGGGGTGGGGGCATGGAAAAGGAGGAGGAGCAGGGGGGCGCCCTGGCAAGGTTGATTGCCACGCAGTTTGATGCTGGTGATGGGAGGGACGGGGGGAACCAAAGAATAGCAGTCAAGCGAGCAGAGGGGGAGAGAGACGCAATAGCGGGGCGGCCAATGGAGCTGCTGGGGAGGGTGGCAGAGGAGGGAAGAATGCGCAGTGGAGGGAGAATCTGAATGGGCGTGTGTGGGAGAGGTATGTGGATGGCATGGCTTGGATTCTGGAGCATGGAGGAGGGGAAGGGAAGGAGTTCCGGTGCAGCCACTGTATTGACGAGGGCAGCAAAAATGGTGGTGACGTGCAGGTAAATGGTGTTCCCAAGGGCATGTATGTGAGTGGGGTAGGCGCCACGGATTTCGCTCTTGCTTGTGCCACTGAGCTGTCTAAGCCAGAGAGCTGTGCTGAGGCGTGTATGTACATATTGGATGGCAACAATGCCAATAAGGTGAGGGTGGAAGAGGCAGCAATCCAGGAGGCTAAAAGCAGGCTGAGAAAAAGGGTAGGTGTAAAGGGCAGAAAAAGGCGTTCAGGAGGGACAGGCGGAGATGGGGCAGCAGCAAACACGAGTGGGGCAGCAGCAAACACAAGTGGGGCAGCAGCAAACACAAGTGGGGCAGCAGCAAACACGATCAGGGCAGCAGAAGCATCAGCGATGCAAAATGCATATGCTTCTAGTGCCGCTGCTTCAGCTGAATCCCGGCCGTGTACACGAGTGGATGGCACCTGCGCCAGCTACAACCCTGGGCTAGTGCCTGTAAACACAAATCCCGTCCTCGCAGCCTTCACATATCGAGTTGCCCGCATCTTACAGTGGGTTCGATTCTACGGCTCAGATGTCGTCTTCGTAGAACGCTGCTGTAGGAGTAAGCCACAGAATAAGATCCTGCAAATGCCCCATCCCTTTCGAGACCTCCCGAGCTTGCTGCTGAGGCTCGGTGCCATTCCCAAGCCGCTTGAAGATGCTGATTTTTCTGTAGAGTGGGAGGAATGGCCACAGGGCGATGAAGCTGCTTTGAAGCTTCTTGATGATCCTGATGCTAGATTCTACCAGCTGGGTGGAACGGGGAGAGTGGAACGGGGTTGGATAGTGAGCAGAGGGTAACAGAACAAGCATCAAAGTCTGGGAGGAAGCACATGAGGCGGAAGGTGCGAGGAGCCAAGGCACCAGGCCAAGCAAGTGACGGCAGTGGGGGTGGTGATACAAACAGAGGGTTTGGCGAAGAGCAGAGGGCCATTCCACATGCACCTAGCATGGCTGTTCTACGGCCGCCTCCGAGAAGAAAACTTCCCATCGTCCGTTGCGTGGCGGATGCAGAATCTCTTGTGGAAAGGGTCGGCCAGGTTGTGAGTCCACCGGCATGTACCCACTGTGTCCAGTGCTTCCGCGACTACTACCTTCTCCTCCCATCCATTGCCCTCATCGCCAAGTTCGCCTACCGCCCCCCCTACGTCCTCTTCAACCGCTTCTTATCCGTCTTCCCGCCACACTCCTTTGGGTTCCACACGCTTGTGAAGGACATGGGCTTGCCGCCGCTTCCCTCAGGCCCGGCTTCACCTATCAACCTTGCAATTCTGCGCGGTGAGATAGAGAAGGAGCGCGTTACCTTCCTGCTGCTCGTCGCCCTCAAGTGGCCGGCCTCCATTCTGGAGTTGGAACAGTTTGACGGCAAAGAGCTGTTGGAGGGAGACGGGATTCGAGTGAAGAAGAAGGTTGCGACGGGGAGGAAGAAAGGGAAGGCTCGGAGAGGGATGGGAAACGGAGGGGAGGAGGAGGAAGAGGAGGACGATGGAGAGGTGTGGGAGGAGTTGGAGTCGTGGTGCTTCACAGCCCAAAATGCTTGGCCATCCAGCCTGCGTGTCTCGTTGAGGGATGCCGGTGTTGAATCGGAGGGCTCAGGTCTGAGTGATGTGTGCATGGGCAGTGAGGGGCAGCAGGAGAGGGCGGACATGGACACGCGGATTGCTGATCTGGTCAGCACAGGTGCGGAGAAGATGCGCAGAAAGAGGGTGCAACTCCGCCGGGGTGCTGTTGTGGAGAGCAGCAGCACTAGCAGCACTAGAAGTGGTGTAGTAATGGAGAGTGGCACTGATGCTACTGACAGCTTCAGCGGTGGTAGCAGTGGCAGGGGAGGTGGCAATGGTGCTGGCAACAGTAGTGATGTTGCTTGTGCGTTTGGTGGTGATTGTGATGTTGTTGATGGTGGCAAGGGCAATGGGGGAAAGGGCAAGAAGGCGGAGCTGCCACCTTACCTAAAGGCATGACCGGGGGGAGTCAATTTGCTGGCATGTCTGCGAGAGATGCTGCTGGGGGAGCCGTGCTACCGCCCTGCTTCCCCTGCTTCCCCTTCCGTCCCTCCTGGTGTGAACACCACTGGTGCAGCGACAAGCACAACTGCTTCTGCCTCCTCCTCCCTTGCTGCTCCAACAAATGTTGCTCCAAAGACTGCTGCCTCGTCTACCCACCCACCTGTGGACACCCTTGCTACCAGGCCAAGATATGATGCCTCGTCCACCCATGTCACCCCAACTACTGCTGCTGCAACCGGCACTGCAGGTACAGCTGCACCCGTTGCAGATGCAGAGGCCTCTGCTCCCAATGCTTGCAGGGAGAGAAGGTGCGAAGCTGCGGGGTGTGGGAGGATGGAGGGTGGTGGTGTGAATCTGAGGAGCTGCGGTGGGTGTGGCAAGGTGGCGTATTGCAGCAGAGAGTGCCAAAAGGCGCACTGGCCCTCCCACAAGCTCACGTGCTCCGGCTGGTCCAGTGGCAAGGAGGGTGTCAGCCGCAGTGGCAAGGTGAGTGGAAAGTATGAGTGAGATTACAAGGAAAGGGCAGCTGTAGTGGGGTATGGCAGGGGGAATTGCTGAGTTGCTGAGGCATGGGAAATTGTTGAGGCAAGGGGAATTGCCGAGGGGAATTGCTAAGGCATGAACTGAGGTGAATTGCTGAGGCCTGGGGAATTTCTGGGGCATGGAGAATTGTTGAGGCATGGAAATTGCTGGGGCATGGGGAATTGCTGGGGCATGGGGAACCGCTGGGGCATGGGAATTGCTGGGGCATGGGAGGCATGGGAATTGCTGGGGCATGGGGAATTGCTGGGGTATGGGAAATGCTGGGGCATGGGAATTGCTGGGGCATGGGGAATTGCTGGGGCATGGGGAATTGCTGGGGCATGGGAATTGCTGGGGCATTGGGAATTGCTGGGGCACGGGAATTGCTGGGGCATTGGGAATTGCTGGGGCATGGGAATTGCTGGGGCATTGGGAATTGCTGGGGCATTGGGAATTGGTGGGGCATGGGAACTGCTGGACAGTGGCATGGTGAGTGGCAAGGTGTACACAAGCCTACCACTGGCATGGAATGGTGAGTGACACAAGGACGTAAGGACAGCAGCTGAGGTGAAAGAGTGGTGCACAGTATGGTGAGTAGGGGTGTAGGTAAGAGTATGGCAGAGACACCCTTTCATTTCCCATGCTGTGAAAGGAAGGCTCGCTTCATGGCTCATGTGCTTCTAAGCGTCTGCCTTGTGTGTTGCTGGGGTGGGGAGGGACAATGAATGTACATGTGTTTTGGCTTCCATTTGATTTAACATGTAACATGCATCTTGATTTGTTTCCTTCCTTCAGCTCCATCTCACCTGTTTTCTTGAAATGCGCAGGTTCAAAGGGATCACACTGCTCACACCCATGTCCCTTGAGTGAATATTTACCTGATTGTGGAATGGATAGCCGGAATAGTCAAGTATTAGTAGGATGTCATGGATCTGAGGACTTGATTTTACAAAATAGCCAAAGTTCTAGAGCTGCATTGAAAACATCATGGTACTCTCCAGCAGGCCCTACAATATCAGGATAAAAGATCCCGATACCCTTATTTTCAGGGTGTTGTTAGGTGCTGTGCTCTGAAATTTCAGGATTTAGTAAAATTTCACCCTGTAGATGCAGGATAGTATATCGTGAAGCCCTGAAATTTCAGAATGGTGATAAATTATTGCCCTGAGGCGTTAGGATATCCATCGGTGGTGCCATGATGAGGATACAGTAGTATGGGGTGCGGGGGTGGTGAAGGAACGTGTTATCGGACTAGAGTCGGCTGTTGCAAGTACGGTACCGAAAACGTGTGTTAGCAACAACAATGCTGCCGCTGTTCGTAGCCACCACCGTACTCAATAGAACCACAGAACACGTGAGTAAAAAAGTAACCTGAGGTATATCAAGAACCACCAAAATCTTAGCCCTGAAAATTCAGGATACTTACCGAAATCTGCCTTGAAACAGGGCCTTTTCACGAAAAAAAAAAAAAAAACAAATCTGCCCTGAGGCATCAGGGTGCCTTAAAACGAATCTGAGGGCCTGCTCTCCAGGTTCCGTATTCCAGCCCACCACACTGACAAGCTCTGGCACCTTTTCAGCTCCACACTTTTTCAGCTAGGCACCTTTTCAGCTAGGCACTTTTTCAGCTAGGCACCTTTTCAGGTAGGCACCTTTTCAGCTAGGCACCTTTTTTCACGGTGAACCCAGGGCCCCAAGGATGCAGCGCCGTGTCAAACAATATTGTGGTTATAGGCTGTAGTGGGTTACTTCCTATGGGGTACAACCCAGTTAGGGTTACGTACTTGTACCCACATTCTGCTCAATGCAATCATCCCTGCTCGCTAGATACTGACATGGTTTCAGTGCACGTAGGTCCCTAGGACCAATTTTTTCTAGGGCCCACCGTTCGTTCTACCCTAGCCGTTTTTCTGCCCTGCCCCTAACAATCGCGACCCGGCGGCCCGCTAGAGCCGCCCTGCCCCACGCGTTCGCACCTGCCCTGTCTCGCACGCTGCCCCACATGCTGCCAGCGCGCTGCCCTAGGCGCTACCCGCGCGCGCAGCTGCCCGCGACCTGTCCGCGTCCTGCTGCCCGCGCGCCCTGCAGCCCGCGTGCGCCCCTGCAGCCTGCGTGCCCCCCTGCAGCTCGCGTGCACCTCTGCTGCCCGCGTCGCTTGCTGCCCGCGCGCGCCCTGCTGCCCGCGCGCGCCCTGCTGCCAGCGGGCCCTGCAGCCCTGCGCCCCGTGTGCGCCCTGCTGCCCACGCGCCCTGCGCGCCCTGCTGCCTCGCGCCCCGCGCGCCCTGCTGCCCACGCGCCCTGCGTGTCCTGCAGCCCGCGCGCGCCTGCTACTCGCGCGCCCTACAGCCTGCGTCGCCTGCTGCCCGCGCTTGCCGTGCTGCCCGCGCGCCCTGCTGCCCGCGCACGCCCTGCTGCCCGCGCGCCCTGCAGCCTGCGTCGCCTGCTGCCCGCGCGTGCCCTGCTGCCAGCGCACCCTGCTGCCCGCGCGCCCTGCTGCTAGCGCGCGCCCTGCTTCCCGCGCGCCCCGCTGCCCGCGCGCCCTGCTGCCAGCGCGCGCCCTACTGCCCGCGTGCGCTCTGCTGCCCGCGCGCCCTGCTGCTAGCGCTCGACCTGCTGCCCACGCGCCCTGCTGCCCGCGCGCCCTGCTGTTTGTGCGCGCCCTGCAGCCCGCATGCCCTGCCCTGTGTGCAGCGTCGCCCTACTGCCTAGCGCGCGTGCCACAGCACCTGCCACTACATCGACTACCGCTACTGCTACAGCTGCAGCCGCCGCAGTCGCTATTGCCGCCCTTGCGCCACTGCTACTGACTGCCACTGTCTGTCATGGCCACTATCACGGTCCTAGCGGTTGACACAGACGGGCACCCTTTCATGTTTGAGTTCTGGCTTGACTGTCTACGCCAGTATCTCCGGCGTTTCATTCCCTGTTCGAGCACACGTCAGGGTCCCTTCAGGCCCCCACAACTCCCACTGAGCCTGCTGCTGACGCTGGTGAGGACGTGCAGTGCGGGTACCGAGCGGACCGCGTTGCCTGCATACGGTGGACGGAGCGCGACGCTGTCGCCCAGCTTGCTGTCCGCGCTCACCTGCCGTTCGCCCAGAGGGCCCACTTTTGTCAGGTGACGTTGGCCCAGACTTTGTACGACACTGTGGTTAGTCACTACTCCTCCCTCTCTCCTGTCACTCGGCCACTACGGCAGCACCGTCCGTTGTTAGGGAGGTGCAGCAGCTGGTCGAGGAGGAGCGTGTAGGTACATGTACGTCTGCTCCTATAGGTGGTGTCGCTGGTAGAGGCGGAGGTTCTGGGGGTGGACAGCAGCGGCAACAGCGTCAGCCGGAGGCCCTCTTGCCGCAGCAGCTTTGGGAGTGGGTTTCCCAGCGACGCGTCCCTGGTGGTTTAGAGGCTACTAGTCTAGGTGCCGGTGAGCCTGCTAGCACAGGTGCAGCCACTGTGGAGGCTCTGCACACCTTCACGCTTGACTCGGGCGCGTCTCGCTGTTTCTTTCGCGACTGCACCACAGTCACACCGCTCACTGCACCTGTCCCGGTCACTCTGGCTGACCCCTCTGGGGGCCTGGTAGTAGCCCGTGCCTCCACCGTGCTCCCATGTCCGGCAGCCCCTTCCGGCTCGCTTGCAGGTCTCCACCTTCCCTCGTTCGCTACGAACTTGGTGAGTAACGCTGTCCTCCATGACCAGTTTGTCATTGTGACTACACTTGGGGGTGAGCTTGTGGCGATCTGTACGGACTCACGGACTGGCGCCCACCTTGATCAGCTCAAACTCAAATGACCAGGTATAAAAATCCTTTCCGTCAAAGGGTGTCGATGTCTGCAGTTTCAAAACGTGTGCGAACTGCGATTGAACCTGAAGCGCGTCCAGTGTCTTCTCTTGTCCAGGTGAAGGCTGTTGGTGTGGCATGAAGCTGATGGAGCCACGTTGAGGCTCGTACGGGGCGAAGGTAGGTTGCTGCTGGTTTCCGCGTGCGTAGGTTGAGCCGTCAAGGCTCATTGGAGTAACGAAATTGTGGGTTACGAAAACAATCAAAGGGGAATGGCCAGAGACGTTTTCGTGGGTTACGTTAATGAAATCTAATGATGGCCTCCCTGCTTTTAAATGCATTGTGTGTAATAAACATGCCGGCTAGGATGGACGATGCTGGAGGGGCGGTAAAGGCGCCAACAACATGCAGACGAGGCACGCATGCAGAACAAGCAGAAGCTGGCGATCCCGATGCAAGACGTCGCTGCTGTAACAAAGCAACCCAGGATCAACGACAACAATATTGAGAAAGAATGAGTCATCGCGCTACTTGACTCTCTCCTGTTTGTCAACCGGTGCAAGTCACCCATCAAGACATGAGCACAACATGCTCCCTATCTTGCGTCGAAATAGGTGGCGGAATTTTCGGCAAAGGTTTATGACCACGTGAGCATCCAACAATATCAGGTTATAAATTTGTTGATGTGTGCAGTTTGTGTGTTTTAACCTTTTCGTGTTTCACCTGCGTGATAGATATGGGTTCGACCAACTTACGCAGTCCGTAGCCACGTGGTTATACATCCTCTCAAGACTCTTCCTCAGCGTGACATGCGTCGATGGCATGAACAGGTGTCGGAGAAAACACATGATTATATTTGTTACGTTCATCAGAGACAATATGCTCGTCACAAAGTTCCTCGCCCCACTATCCGCGGACAAGTGCGATGCTGATTCCTAGCTCTCAGTGATGTTGTCGCACTTGCAGGCACTGGGCATAAAGCTCGGCAGGATCGTAGGGATCAGCACTGATGGCGCTGGGGTCATGATGGGTGTGCGGAATGGCGTAGTGGCGCGTCTGCGTCTGCGCATCCCACATCTCGTCTCAGGCCATTGCATCGCCCACAGGTAGATTATGGTTGCACTGTATATTATCATTAATGGTTCTTGTTTGTGTTGTTCACAGAGGAAGGAGTTCACTGCAAAGGATGCTGCAGAGGCTCTGCCCGAGTTCGACATGATGGACTACCTGATCTGTGATCCCGCTGAGCATCGTGGCCGTTCAACCCCTTGGCACCAGCGGTTTCTGCCTATGCATGAGGTGTTCACGTCGAATAAATTGGAGCTACAAGGGATACACAATATTGGATGGCTATCCAGGGGTGAGGCCATTCTACGCTGAAGTGGCGTGCCTGCTGTCATTGTGATGCTTTCAGAGAATGACCGCACGATGTACGACCTTGTCACGAGCTACCGTTTCCCCTACATGATGTTTTTCCTTGCAGACGCCCTTGAGTAGCTAAACGTCTTGAACAAATGGTTCCAGTAGTGAGAGGTGAGGCTGGCTGTGCATGCTTTGTGTTTGCTGTGGCCTAAGCTATGTTTTTGTACCGGATGCTTTCTTTTCCTCTTCCCTTATCAGCTTGACTTGGCAAATTTTCCATGCTCAAATTAGGAGAACAATTACCTACCTGGTGAGTCACTAAGTGGCTTGTGAGGACGACTTTGGAGGCAGGATGAGTGTTCATCAAGAAGCGTGGACCTTAAGGCGGTTGCGCCAGTGTGACGGTGCAGGGAGTTGATTCAGACGGCCGGCCAACAACATATGAGTTCGACCTTCACAAGAACCCTAGCAAAAACTTCCCCGGCCTGGGAAGTCACGACGTCTGCGTCGACCTTTGTACCACCTTTGCAAAGACCCTTGTGCAAAACCTCAACAAACAGTTCGAGGATTTGCAATCATTCTCTCGCGTCAAACTCTTCACTCCAGAAGAATGGCTACAACGGATGGTGGAGTAGAACAACATGCGACTCGAGTGGCTCATATTCTTGGTCGTCCTGTTCAAAACAGAGAAGACTTACTGCATCCTTCCAAGTACGGTATTTTTTTACATTTGTGTCATTGCCTTCCTTCCTTATATTATCTTCGCGTCCACTGAGTACCCATGTTGGAACAAGCCCTCGAGCAGGGGGTTCATCCCGTCAAGTTGGATCCCTGCTGCATCCCTGGGTCGGCTTAATACATCTGCCTTGTTGGATAATCCTGGCCTGTAGACGATGTCGTGGTGAAAGTGTGTCTCGGGGAAGTCTATCCACCGCACCTGTCGCCTGGAGAGTGTAGCCTGTGATTTGAGGTAGTTCATGCTACTGTGGTCGGTGTAGACTGCAGTTTTAGCCTCTTCCAAGTAACACCTCTATGCCTTGAAGGCTGTAACGATCACCAAGGCTTCCTTATCATGTATTGGGTGGTCAATTTCAGCTCCGTGTAGCTTCAAAAGAGGTGAGCAATGGGTTGCAAATCGCGTATGTGAGAGTACGACGTCCATTCTTACCTATCGTTGCTTATTTTCTATTATCATTGTGTGCTTGTTTTCATGGATTCGTTGCTTTCGTATATGTATTATAGTTATAAGATTGATTTAGGTTGCGTGCACTGAGTTCTGCTGATTTTGGGTTAATTCCGCGTGACTTTGCGTGCGCGTGATTTCGACCGAATCTCTTCTACCGAATACGAGAAGTTTCCATCCCAGACGGTTCCCGATGCACGGAACATTCCCGTAACATCCCGGTTACCTTGCGCCTAGATATAGCCACATAGTTGTACCCATGATTCATATTGTAAAAACTCAACTCGAGTCTCGATCCTTAGACTTGGTAGTGAGAGCCCGTTTTCACTCGACGTTCTTCACTCGCTAAAAACCAGCCTTAAAAAAACAATCAAATCATGGGGGCGAAAATAATCACGCCGATTTGGGTACGTAACACCAGTTCTGCGTTTATTTTTAATACCCCTTCGATATGGTTAACGGAACATGCATGGAAGGAAGCGGCGACGATTTCGTACAGGAGTTGCGATCCTTCGTGCGGAGCAAGAGCAGACGCGCCCGACGCTACAATCACTCGAGGCGCTGCTCGCGAACCAATCAGCAGCCACAGCAGCAGCAGTGACAGCAACAGCAGCAACACCAGCGACACCGACATTCGTACCTGCAACAGCGGCACCAGCTACAGTCAACCTCGAAGCAGCGAAGCCGAGGCTACCTAAGGAGTTCGATCGGAGCGCAAAGGGGACTGATGTCCGTCAATTCGTAGATGTACTCGAAATCTACTTCAAAGCCGTTGGATGCACGACCTGGACCCACAATGCGACATGAATTCGGCTCGCAGCTACACAGGCCCAACACTCGATGGGATGTACAATAACGACATCCTCTGAGGTGAAGGGACGTGGGCGCAGTTTCGGGCAGCCCTAATCGATTGTTTTGAACCAATTAGCGCAACAATGATTCATTCGGCAAAAATATTTGGGAGTGTAGCGCCATACATGCAACTGATGGAGGTGTTCTCAATCGAATCACCGTCGGAAAAAAAAAACTAGCCTACACTACAAAATTCGCCGACATGTCATCGCGGTGAATTACAACAGCTACAGGGACATCGTGTGCGCATCGGGGCGGTTCGATGCGTTGAATAGTGGTCAACACAAAACACGACGCAACCAGGCAAACATAAATTGTGACGCAGAGCAATCAACACCCCCACGACTGCCGACCCGATGGATATTGACAAGGTCGACGCGAAGCAGCGGCCGACAGAAAATGAAACATGCGTATTTTGCGGCGCTACAGGGTGCACCCAATGACCAGCATGGATACTGATTTGGTTAAAGGGTTGGTGGTGCTTCATCCAAATGATCGGTACCGCTAGAGGCATGAAGTGGAAGACCCTATGGT